CACGGGGACAGGAGCAAAACCGCCCAGGCGGCGGCTTTGCTCGGGTGTCCCTGGTCTGCTGAGGGGGTCCAGCGGCTTTGCTGGACCCCCCCAACAGACCAGGGAGACTGAGAGAAGCTTTTCTCGCCCCGGAGGACACGGGTGGCGACCTGCCTCCCGTGAGCTCCGGGGCGAGAAAAGCCCCATTCGTAAGTGCGTATCCGACGTAAGTCGGATCCGCGTAAGTTGGGGACTGCCTGTACATCACATATCTGCAAGCCCAGCCATTGTTGCAATGGTAATTTAAGACAAAGGATGAGATGTATTATATAAGCTACACTGAATCTTTAGAGAGTCAGCAAGCTCCCTTAGTATATTGGATCCCTAGATTGCAATTGTATCTTAAGTACACTTATAACATTTGGTTTAAGGTTTGAAGTTCATTTTGAATTCCCACATTGGTTTGTACTAATTGAGCTGGTCCAAGTTTTTTGTTGTTTCTGCCTCCCCACCATGAAAACATACATATTTGTCCAAATTTTCCACAGTCATATTGAACATTGAAATATGTTTGCCAAAAATGGGACATGTAACCACTCGTGGCAATTGAGTTCCTTATGTCACCATTCTCTTCTATGAATTTGGATCTCCAACTGCACTACATTTTAATGTTTCATAATTTTTCTTTTTGGTGAAGGGAAGTTATAAAATGGTCTGTTTCTGGCAATGGTGCATTGTGGAAGACGTAGTCCAGCTGGAGGTCCTGGGTCCTAGACAATAATAAGGACATGAGGCACAAACTAAAACTCTCAGGAGGCTTAAGCTTCTCCCATTGGTATAGCTATCCTCTCTCAGGGTGATAGATCAATTATACTTCAATTATGCTGGTGGGATTTGCTCTCCCATTAGCATAGTAATGTCCATAGATCACATTTTTGGCCAAAATATTTTTGGTTTTGGCTGAAATCTCTCAATGAGAAAATGAAACTTTCAATGAAAAGGAGACCATTTTTGTGGGAGGGAAAAAGCATTCTATTTAAAATCTGTTTTCCCTCAACAGTAATTTACTAGATAAAATTTTTGACCAGCCCTAGGTCAAACTTTCTCCTGCTGTCCATAGATCTTATTAACTAGCAGACTAGAATGGTATCAAGTGAAACCATTTTGTTTTCCTTTAATGTGCACCTGTCCCAAAATCTGGATATATCCTCCCCTTCAAAAGGAGCTCATTCAGTAAGAAGATCCCTTTTCACTTATTTCATCTCATAGAGTTGCTGCCAACAAACCACATGCCACAGATAAAGTGGCAGAGATTCCAGCTGACTGGGTATGTCATCTTTAGAGTCTGACTAGTAATTGTTTGTACTCTTTGGTAGTGTTGAAAGCTTAAATTCATAACATTGCTAGACACTAAAAATCATGGACTTAATAGAGTTGCTGATTGCATGTCTCATTATAATAATCTGTAACCCACTAACCCTCTGTTCTATGACTACAAAGGTGTTAATTACACATTTAATCTTGAATGGTCTCTTGCAACATGGGTTAACTCCTTATGCTTAGCTTATGTTCTACCTTCTAGTTGGCTGATTAACAGTGCAGAAGAGGAACTCTGTGCTGCTCAAAAGATTGTTTTTTTACCCTGATCTACAATAGGAATTTACATTCGT